TAAAATATTAGATAATGCAAAAATAATGAAGTCTCAGCAGTTCAGTAGTCAACGACAACATCAGCAGAAGTTCAAGACCAAACAATAGAAAATGTGCTAACTCAACTAAAACATGTGCAATTGAAATAATAATTGTGCCATGAAGAATGACCGTGAAAATTTTGCGACGCAGCAGTTACAGGCCAAGGTCGCCTAGTCAAGTAAGAAGATTTTGTTATTATAATATGTATCAACGTATGCAGAAAAATGTGAAAAATCATGTGATTGGAAACAAACTAAACAAGGAAACTAAAAATCGCACAGCCAGCATGGCCTTTGTGCTATCTACCCGTCTAACCGCCTTATTTTTACCGACTGAAAAAGTGGTATAAGGTTTTTAATCGTTACGGGAGCAACATATCAGGAGCAAATCCTACAGTAAAGCAACAATGCCAAATGAGCAATATGTTATATGCCACGAATGGTTCAAAGATAAACACTTACGGTGAGAAAACTCTGACTCTTTAACTTGGGATTACAATCATTTAGAAAAATGTGAGTCCCTCCAGAGCGAATATTTCTTAGGTTATCCGATAACGAGCCAAGAAATCGCCAACAGAGCAGAAATACAAAGCAATTAATGAATTGAAACACAGTCAACGAATTGAGAAAATTACGCAGCCGCGTATCGAAGTTGAATACTTTGAATATTTCAAGAATGATAATTCGCCTATCCTTTGGTCTTCAGAAGCTGATAACGCTTATGAAATGTGCAAGGACACAAGGCATGAACGCTGTGACTACAGCGCACCCATCGCGTAAAGCCGAGCTTGCGCGAGGGCAACCCACGACTGTGAAAACGCCAGATAAGGAAGAAGCCAGTGGTTATATTTTGTTATAATCTCATCTTTATAAACGTTTCCCCATTTTTCACGACATGATTTGTATAACGTAGATAGTTATTGTAATTTGTATTATGTAATTAGCACATTATTTNGGGTCAGCTAGTTAATAATAAAAATAATTATCTGGTATGAGACATGTTTCACGCAGGGGTGACATCTCCTGGCCACCAGGAAGCCCCGATTTCACTCTAGCTAATTTCTTTTTGTGGGGTTACCTTAAGGATTAAAATATACTTTAAAATCCAACAACCATGCAGCAACTGAAGCTGAACATTCGTCATGAAATCAAATCATTTGGAGGTTACTCTAACGAAAGCTTTTCAAGATTTTGATGTCAGATTGGAAGAAAAGTCCGTTAAGTTGTTATGCGAAAGTCTAGGTATATTTCATATTTTATCATCATACTTATTCAATCGTAAGTGCAATTTGTAGGTAATAATTTCATACAACGGTGATTATAAATATACGGTAATTAGTACATGGAAATTATAAAACGATAGTTTTTCTTCAAAATTTCCAAAATTTGCAGCGTATGCAAATACTGTCTTACTACAACGTATGAAGGCCAAAGTACTGATTCTATTTAAATTAACAATGTGGATCTACCTTAAAAAATCAAGTATAAAAATAAGGACATGGTAAATAGAAAAATTGAAAACCAAAGATATGGTTATTAAACAATTCGTCGACTGTACGCCAACGCAATAGACGTCTACTTGCTAACATGTCTTAGAACTAACTAAGGGCTCGCGCCGCACGCGTAAATGATGTGTCAAATATTATTATTTAGGCTTGTGTGCCCAAAAATAAAAAACGTCACGGGAATTAGGACTTTCGCTCGGACAAGCAGTTTTTTAATTCTAATTATTTACAGAATGTAGCCGTGTGNTATCAGAGACTAACTACAACCCGTGTCTCATTTATACGGTCTCCCAACATGGCACAATGGTCTTGATGATGTGATGATGCAGTTCAGTCAGATTACACAGCAAGTAAAATAATTTAATTTTCGCTATTCAATCACACACTCACGACACGATGGCAACTGAAATCGCCCGAATTGATCTGCCCCCTAGACAAGTGGCAAAATCTGATATTCTATTTGGACGGATTCGATTTTCGACTTGTCTAGTCTACTCGATGATCTGATCGCGTTCGAAGCACCTGTACGGCTAGCACGAAAAACTTTCGAGTTCAAATCGTTTGCGTAGGTACTCGAATCGCCATCAAAAGATTTAGTAAGAAAACTACAACAGCGCCCTTGTGAACGTGTCGTAAAGTGAACTTAGTATAAGATGTGGTTGCACGAAACTTATTTTGAGAATCAAAATTGTCACATTATCGTTTAATTCGAATATTGAGTATCGAATTTTATCAAGTATGCAAACGATTCGAAGACGAAAGTTGTTCATGCTAGAGGTACTGCTGTGCGGCGCTAAACTCGTCACGACATGCAATGAGACAATGGGCCAACTATCCGGCCGCCGGATATCCGGCTATCCGGCCTAGCAGCTCGCCGGATATCCGGTATCCGGTATCCGGCCAAACAACTATCCGTTTCATCTCTAGTTATGACTCTACTAATTAAAATTAAGGATGAATGATCATCCATCCTTATTTTCAATTAGAGAGTCGCAGTAGATTAGTAGAGAGGAGTTCGACTTCGTATACCGATTTTTATTCATATTTAACTGTCACACTGTTGTGTGAAATCCTTACAAAATCCCAGTCAGCCAATATAAAAAACAAATCCAAGATCACAGAGCGAGATCAGCAATAATGAAAAGCTTGAGAATTATTCGCTTGAAACTTTTTCCATCGGGCGACCTCCCTTCGGAGTCTTAGGTTCAACTCAAATAAAACTCCTGTGTATTGAGACCGAGTTCAACTGAGTTGAGCTGCATCTCCTGCAGTTTACTTTTTATAACTAGACGCATAAAGTGTATATTGCCTCAACGGCTGGAGCCAACGGCGCAGATAAATCTTTATAGTCCAGTTCATAAAAAGTACTGAACAACTCTTGCAAATTGTTTTGGTTTATAGACTTACTGTAACCGTGCATTTAAATAAGAACCTTTATACTTGCAAAGTTTATGATACTTTCTACCATTTAACAACTTGAATTTTATCTTTTAACTAGTTCTAATACTGGAACTTTAAATTGTAACATTTTTTAAGGTCACCATACCAGATACTGTGTGTACTGGGTGTGAAACGTGGAAGGTCACCAAGGTCATCTCGCACCAGCTGCAGGTCTTCGTCAACCGCTGCCTTCGCCGAATTCTCGGCATATACTGGCCTGAGAAAATCTCCAACGTCGAGCTATTGGAACGCTGCCACGAAATTCCGATCGACCAGCAGATCAAACGCCGCAAGTGGAACTGGATTGGCCACACTCTCCGAAGGGGTCCCGATCACATCCCCAAGCAGGCTCTGGATTGGAACCCCCAAGGAAAACGCAAGCGTGGTCGCCCCAAGCAAACTTGGCGGCGCACTGTGGCAGACGAGGCGAAGAAGATCGGCAAGACTTGGAGCGAGATCAAACACATAGCTCAAGACCGAACGCGATGGAGGACTTTTGTGGACGCCCTCTGCCCCATCTAGGGGACTTAGGACCATAAGTCAAGTAAGTCATACCAGATACTGGCCAAAAGGGTGGAGTTTATGTCACATTATATTTTTACTTTAAAGGATAGTGGCCTATAAAACGTTTTTAATTCCAAGATTGTAGAAAATCTTAATTAAGAAAACTTTTACCACATTTCTTTTTAAGTAAGCGACTAACCGTGAAGTTGAAATTACTGTCGCGACCGTAGTGACTTAAAATCTTTTCACCACTGAAAAAAATGTTTGGTTACTGCTTACACAACAAAATAAACCACCGAATTAAGTGTTAACTATAACCAAACTAAGTTTAGCTCACTACAGAATTATTTGTTTAATTTTGTTCCTCATAACCAAAGTGTTCGGTGGTCACTTTTGTTGTGTAAGCAGTAACTAAAAATTTTTTTCAGTGATAGCACTTGTAGTTTCTGAGATTTCGTGATGAGTGAGTCAGTCAGTAACCTTTCGCATTTTACATATAGATAGACCTCCCAACGGCTTTCAGATTGGCCGGCCTGCATGCTATCTTTATAAGGTCATCTGTCATGGATGATGACATTGTATGCATAGTTGTTATGTTTACGTAATATTTGGTTATGTGCTCGTGTAATGGTGTGGGGTACGGCCGGGGTCATCCATCAGCGGTGTCGCACCCACGTCACGTGGCCTCCTCAATCGCGACAGTAAACATAGGTCACCGCCATCTACATAATATACTAAGGCTGGGTTGCACCATCTTACTTAAACTTTAACAAACGTCAACAATCTGTCAAACTCCATACAAAAAGCACCAGTTACCGTTATAGTTCGGTTAAAGTTAGGTGGTGTAACTCAGCCGAAGTACGTAGGCGGTTGAGGAAAGCAATGCAATTTTCTTTCATGTTGAGTAATTATGAGTATTTACATCAGGGTATTAATGATTGGTCACTTGGATTACTCCATTTACAATGAGTAATATAAGTAAATATGTACTTAATATAAGCCGTACCTACATCAGACTAGCACATAGGCTTTATTTATTTAGTTCGTTTTTATAGAAACTTACGCGGAAAACAACAAAAGCTTGTAAAATTTAATTTTCATCATCATCATCATCTCAGTCATAGGACGTCCACTGCTGAAATTAGACCTCCCCCAATACTTTCCATGCTGCCCGGTTGGTAGCGGCCTGCGTCCATCGCCTTCCTGCTACCTCTAAGATGTCGTCGGTAATTTAATTTTACTAAGTTATATTAAGCTACAAGAGTACGACAACTAGTAACCACTATGTTGACTGAAACTAAATTCTCGATTGAACCATGTATGGTCATGATAACCAGTAAAACGAATTGATTCCCATCAAGTTCAACCCCCTAGATTCCTAATCTCGTGCGTCCCATTTAAAAACTGCGAACACAAACAAAATAAAATAAATACCAGCATGCAATTACAAACAAACGCGAAGTGGCCGGTCGCGCGAGTTCGTATCGTCACCATGTTTATTTCCGTCCAGAGAGCAGCGGGATTCCAAAATAGAAAAGTCCACCACATCTCACCGAAGCAACTGCACGCACGCGGAAACCCGACAAAATTAAATCAACATTCCTGTGACGGCGAAATTGAATTTGCACAATTAGTTTAAAACAGACGTCCGCCCGCGATGGCAGCGCGGCATCGAGTGGCCGCCATTTTGTTTTTGTGGTGGGGTGTGTTTTGTGTGCTAGGCTGTGATGGTGATGAACTGGCGATCTACGAGGTGAAGCTGAAGATGCTGTGGAGTGAGGAACGGTTTCCTAAAGACTACCCGACTAACCGGCCTAAGGCTCAGTGGTCTATTGCCTTCGGTAAGTACCTACTCAAAGTATTTGAAAAGTTATAGTCATTTAACATAATCGTATAATTTTCACAATAACCAGAGATTACTCAGGTAAACATTCATAAAATCAAATCTTTTTTATTTACCTATACAGGAATCGAATAATTAATAGAATTAAATTTAACTTTTTCCAGAATCTGATTTTTTCCAGGATCTATAAAACATTTGCATAATAATAATTATTTATTTATTTTATTCAATAGTAATAAAGGGAGGCCTCAGTGAAATCAATAAAATTAATGAGTAATACTAATTATCACTCTACTAACAAAATATTTGAAAGCACGAGTATTTATCGTACCAGCTGATAGTTACTAGCAAAGAGAAAAATACTTCCCTCAAATGAACCTTCGTGGTTAGAAGCTACATACTCGTACCTATAGTCTATCCAATATAGCTTGATTAGAATGACATCTGCCATCAAAAGTAACGACATAACTTTGTAGTAGCGATCAATGAGAGCTAAATATTGGCGGACAAGAAATAATTCACGTCTGACCTACAAACAATATTTTCGACGACAGTGCTTCCAATAAAAATGTTAATTTCGTGTAAATGCAGCGTTAAATTACACCAATAAGTAGTAATTCGAAATTATAAAAATCAAGCTAGAGTATTAACGACGTCTCTACAAGGTTATCTCGAGTTACAAAAATGTTAGTGTTGGGACATATCGACAAATGTCATATTAAATTAAAACTAATTTCTTAACATATTTAACAAATTTTTTTTCTAACTAATTTTTTAACATATTTAAGTCAAGTTATACGTTTTTCTAAATGTTCACTATTAAAAACCAAAAAACATTTCATTCTTAAATAATCAAACATCGGAAATCAATCACCGGTAATTTTTTGGGTATTCATAGCACCGTTGCTCTAGAAGAGATGCCCACCGCCCTCTAGCGAGAGGAAAAAACCACTGAAGAACACTGATGATAATGACTACGACTTAGGTTGTACACCCTTGACATGAATTTTAAATTTTACTGTCTTTAAATTTAAATCATAATTGTCATTTTTATGAATAAAGATATGAAGAAAAATTGGGTGCANTATTGGATAGACTATAGTTCTGAAAAAAACACCTGTCTTCAAGCTAAGTATTTACTTGAAAGTTGTCACCTAACTTTTATTTACGCAATTACACCAAACACCAAAGACTTTGGTGACAATGGGTGGAAGCAGGAAAATGGAAGCTGAAAGAAAAAGTTCTTTTATCTGAAACAGTTAGCGATGCCCCGCGGCTTCACTTGAGATAAGAGGCATTTATTTGTCTCGGTGACAGGCGATGCTATCACGCACTGCGAAAGAGAAAAGCATCAAAGCAATTTTTCATGACTCTTGTAATATTTCTTGATTTACAATTACATGTTTCTTACGAACGAGTGCACATTTTTTATGCTTTATTCTTTAAAATTATAATTTTTGCTACGCCAATGGCGATTTGAGGTAATTTCTTCATCTTGTTTTGTTTGTCTTTTTCTCGTCATGTTAAGTATTTTTAATTTAATAGTTATAATCTAGAGCAAAAAAAGAAAGACTGTGTGCTATTTCACCACTGGTGACAAAATGTATGAGCATAAACATTTGTCTTTATTTTCTCAATGGTTACAAAGTCAAAGTGAAAATTACTTTATTTGCATGGACTATTAAAAATTGTGCTAACAAATCGTCAAATATTAAAATAAAAAATAACAATAAAAGATTTAAAAAAAACTTTTAAGTTTTGCTCTTAAGCAGCCTTTACATGTCTTTTTGCCCTACCAGCGCTTCGAGATCAACATTTAGCAAGTGCTGAGAAGAAACGCCATACATCTACATTATTCGTTCACCAATCGTGCCGTTCTTTTTAGGGACTCCTGAGTGATTTTATTGTTCTAATGTTTGTTCAGGAACGCTTTTGTTAGAAAAACAAAAGCCATCGTGGGAATGTTGCCGAATTGCAATATTGAAACCAATTGATACATTTTATTAACGTACCTATTAAATTTAAAAGTCTTTAATGTAGAAATTCTATAGTTAACTAAGTTAAGAACCTCAACTCAAAGATGATTGAAAGTTTGATGAAGGCTTTGATTGGTTGAATTTAATTTAATACTAATCTCTAACTGAGATTTAATCGAGTTTTTGGCGTTCATAAAATGTTAAAGGCATCATAAAAGACTGAAAAGTGACGGAAGAATGATGCGTGAAATTTTCAGTCTTAATAAAACTAGTTTTGATATCCATTAATATTGGAGTAATCGATTGTTGACATTCCTGTGCATGCCCATTGGGAGGGGATTGGATAAAATGTCATTGGATAAAACATTTTGTTTGTGTGTAACACACAACTTACTTCCTGAGGCGGATCTATTTGATGTTCGACGGCTGACTCTGATAGTGTTTCAGAGCAGGGTTGTCAAACTTAAACCCCCTATCTACTAGTAAGATGTTACCGTCAAAAGTTATAATCGGTCTAAACCACTTTCATTTCAAAAGACTGTTTTTTGCATTTTTGGTTAATGTAACTTTTTACTGATTTTACCAGTTAGTCAAAACCACTTTTGACTGCAAACAATCAGCCAAAAGTGGTTTCGCCTGATTTAAAATGTTACCAATCAGTTAAAATTCATAAAAAGTTATGATTAGTGAAAATTACCAGGAAATAATCAAAAATGTGTTATAAAACATGAAGTAACGTTTTATGTATTTTCAGCTCAGACAGACTTGATAAGTAAAATTATAAAAATTTTAAAACACACTTTCCCTGTAACACAGTATTACAATTAAATCACTAGTTCTATACAACCTGAATATTAGGTACGTCAGAATCCTTCGAAAACAAAGCATTTCCCGAAACCGCAGCAAAAATTTAAACAACTCGCCAATTTTATAATCAAATTACGAAAATCGTCAGCCCTACCACCGCCCTCTTTTTGATTGAAAACAGACAAAAGGATTTTTTGCGTCCGAAAAAGGACAAAATGCCTTTCAAATAGCATTGAGCCCAAGATTTATATCCTGCTCGAGATAATTCAATATCGGCGGCTTTCATAATATAATGGAGACAACTTCGTTTTCTGGTCACGGCCGGATCGCCGCCCACAATACGGTATTTTCTTTCGATGCGAATTGGCGGGTTTAATTCGTTTTGGCTCGCAAGTGTGGGCTTGTCGACGGATATTAGCCTCTGTATCATCATTCGATGGGCGTTTTTTGTCTTACAGAAGTTTTTCAATCAATCGTTTAGCATAGTCTGCCAATATGCAAACTCAAACGTCCGGGCGTCCGTTCTACCAAAAGTATCTCCCAAGGATTTCGATTCCTACGCTGCCCGCATCCAGATGCTTCCCGTGACCTTCGTCGGCACATTTAATAAATAATAAATAGGTGTTTACAGTGTTTTGTTCCCAACGAGTCACACCGAAACTAGTAACACTGTTACACGTTGGGAAAAAAATCCCATCAAGTCACACTGTTACTCGTTGGTCACACTATAATCTGTATTTTCTTAGAGTAAGCTCAAAGCTGTAGATTACTTATGTATTTTTATTTTTAATGTATTTTGTACATCGTTTCTTTATAACTAAATCTCTTATATCCTGATATTAAAGGTGCCTAGTACTCTACTAAATGTGTGAACTAGTGTGCCTAATGCCTATGCCAGTGTGAACTATTACCCCTGTAACTGGGTGGGATTTTTCCCAACGTGTAACAGTGTCACTCGTGTTACTCGTTGAACAAGCGTATTTAAAACGCTATAGTTAAGTAGGTAATACTCGTGTAAATTAAATCTTTTGACAGACCAGAGTTCACGCGTGCAAAACCGCGGGCAAAAGTTAGCTTTACATTACAGTACCTATCTAAAGTAAGCACAAAAGCTTATGCATCTCTGACCTGAAAAATAAGATGGCGGAGAATTTCCATAGCCATGAATTTTTATCACTCAACTATTAACCGGTAAAATGTTGCCAACGCTCAACTTTTAGATAGCTTAAGTATTTAAAATGCCAGCGAGGCGCTTTGTTAAGTGTTTTACTGTAAAATAAACTTAGGTTTATCTTTATACAAATACTAGCTGTGCCCGCGACTTCGTACGCGTGAAAATAGTTTGAATAATATTTCCCGTTTTTGGAACATTTTTCTTTACTGCTCCGCCCCTATTAGCTGTAAGGTGATGTCAAATAGCCTCCAACACAAAAGTTTTTCATTAAGTATAAGAAATTAAGAGCCTATTCAAATATGTATCATTTCCCTCTAAGTAAATAAATTGAGTCTTGTTACAAAATATGCCAGGTCAGGGTTACGTAAAAATTATCACATTTTCACTGAAAATTTTTTTTGAAGTCGTCCTAAAGTCATCATGTCCCAAAAATAGCGGGATCATTGAACTTTCACTGAGGGACGTCGGACGCGAATGAGTTAATTCATACCTAAATAGTTAACTAGCTGCATATCCCGGTTTCGCCCGTTAATCTGTGGCATGCGTATAACTCACAGATCACAAAAACTAAAGGGAGATGTGAAAAAGGGGGCGGGGCCAGTGTCGCAACAATATGCCCAAAACCAGAACACATTGCAATGTGCCATTCAGTTAACGTTAGANTAATTATTATGTGTAAACAGTTTACATTGCTTTCGTAGTGCTAAAGATGATTCGAACGTTGAGTACTGATACTGCAGTGGATAATGAGTACCTACATTCAAATTAACAGAATACATTCAATCGCACGTCACTGCATATGTAGTGGTGCTGTACGTACAACGTACATTACTTGCAACCTGGTATGCAAACGAATGTGTAAGAAAAAGGCACTAAAACCGTCTGTTCTAATTAATCTATACTAAAATTATAAAGAGGTAAAGTTTGTGTGTTTGTATATTAGTTAAATTGTAAGGGGTAATCTCGGAATCTACTACTCTAATAGAAAGCCACATTATTGCTAAGTGTCATGAAAAACCGAAAAATACCACGCGGGCGAAGCCGCGGGCGGAAAGCTAGTACTTTTATAAATTGAAACTGTCATTCAGGAGGCTGATATACGATTTTTCGTCTTCATTAAACAGAATGGCTTCCCTTGGTAATTAGAATGAAACGCACACGAGGGGGACGGGTCTATTTACATATCTCACTCAGAGTTCGAGCAAATGGCCTATAAAATGCTTCGATAAAAGCTAAGGTAAAGCGTAGTGGGTGATTCTGCAAGATTAACAACACTATTTGAGTTTACTTTGTACTGCTAATGATAACGGTGTAAAATTACGCTTGGTTGACAGTTGGTTCAAAAAAATAATGAATTAAGTAAGTTTTTGTCAATTTAGTAATAGTTTAGTAACTTAAACTACCTACTAGTATTATAAAGCTGAGGAGTTAGTTGTCCAATTTGAAAAAATATTTTTGTGTTGGATAGCCCATTTATCCATGAAGGCTTTAGGTAACATCACTCTACAGCCAATAGGGGCGGAGCAGTAACGAAAAATGTTGCAAAAACGGGAAATACTAATATTATCACGCGTAGGTACTTATCACACTCACACTCACATCATAAGTGGCAGGCACGGCTAGTTAGGTAAATGAATAGAAGTACCACATGAAGCAATAAAGATATTATAATATCTTTATTGCTTCATGTGGTACAAACAAGGTATTAAAAATAAAAACATGAATCTGTTTTTTTTTCTCTTATATTCGTGGTCCCAGCGGCAATCTATAGGGAACTCTACAATAATCCACTCCTGTGTCCGTTTGCACTGTTTTTTGTCATGTGCAGGGTGGAGTCCAGTGACTCAATTGCCCTCAGTGGTCATGATTTCTCAACTGTCCTGGAATACTACTGAGGAGACCCATGCCACTAGCTCTTTGCAGTCTGCTGAATTGGAAGCCATCAATAGTCATGAGGTGTTGGACTGATGTGTTTACATGAAACTGTATTTTTATTCTTTACTTATTAGCCAAGCATTTAGCTCGGCTCCCTCCAAGTACCCGTGAATCTACAATAAAAATCAATTGAAGGGGTAAGTGGACAAAGGTGTTATCTGACAAAACTGAAGAATCGACTTTTTTGCATGAACATAGGTTTTAAGTGATGATAAAATCGAGTACCTAATGAGCTCAAAACACGCAATTTTGTTACGTGTCAAACGTTATCAAAGGTGTTATCTGACAAGCTTTCATACATTTCAGGATTCAAATGTGGTATGAGCTGATTAACATTTTCAAACACTCATAACTCATTTTGTTTGTTAAGACCTTTGTCCACTCAACACTTCAATTGTTTACCGCTTAGAGTTTGAGGGGTTAAATATTTTTTCTCTCTTCTTTCCAGGTCAATCGCACAACAGTTCTTATGCCCTATACCATGTGGATGAAGTGGCATCATCTCCCGTAAGAAGCTTTACCCAGTTTGGGAAGATCGACGCATTGGTGCAGGGAGGAGAAGAAGAACCGAGGGTATATGACCAGTTCACAGCCCCAGCTGTGGGGAAAGGAACCGGGGAGACACAGGGCATTGTCCTGGTGGATGGAAGGCACAGTTTAGTACGTATGAAAATCTGCTACCGCCTTTTTGATCTAAAGAAAGTCTACTCCGTGAAATAAGAATAAAATATAATAAAAACGCTTTTTTTATTACTAAAAGCATGAACTAACTGATATCGTCTATGACACTTTAGAAGGGTTTCATATAATGATTGCAATCTATAGGTACCTAATGGAAATTAATAAGTGTTGACGACAGTTATTATAACTGTACGTCCAATAACTCTTAGCATCTAATGATTAGAATAACTACTTCACTCCTTCAACAACTATACAAATTAGCCCACTATTAATATAAAAGAAAGCCTACTATTAATGTTCTATGATCTACCTACCCTAATTAAATCCTAAAATTTAATAATCTAGCTACAAATAATTTAAGAACAAATCTAAAAACTCACTACAAGACTTTCAATTATCTACTACTGGAATTAATATTGGATTATGCCCGTTTTCACCAACAATCCCTAATTTTTAAGTGATCCCTATGAAAACAAAATTCCTGTTATGTGTTACCATACCATAGGGGTCACTTAAAAATTAGGGATTGATGGTGAAAACAGGCAATAGTCCCCTTTTCCAGAGCTTGATTGACCTTACATTTCGAATAATGTATCGTGCATGAATACATGAAATTCTAACGCCCGTATTCACAAACGATGCTTGCTTAAGTGAAGCAGCAAATCGAACACACAGCGTTGAATAGAGCTCTTTGATTATTTCGTGTGTGACCCTGTGCGTCCACGCGCACTGTGAGACCTCATAGTAATGTTTGTGAATACAAACGTAAGATACTCGTATTATAGCAACACATTTTCTAACGTTTTCAGGTTTCATTAATATGCCACATGATACCATCACCCGACTGGTTCATCGGAGTAGATAGCCTTGACCTATGCGTGGATTCTTCCTGGGTGGATCAGATCACGTTGGATGTGAGTGCAGTTAAGTTATCTAGACAAAGTGACATTCGTGACAGTTTCGATTTCGTGATCGCTTCGCTACATCTTTCTTTTGTTAATTATTTTTACTGAATAATCGCGAAATCGATTATTATGGATGCTACTTTGTCTACATGTAAATGGTGTTTAATTGCGTCTCTTATCAGCAAAGTGGACAGATTTATTTTTCGCTTCTATTAAGTTTGATGAAGTACGCAGGCCGCTACCAACCGGGCAACATGGAAAGCATTGGGGGAGGCCTATGTTCAGCAGTGGACGTCCTATGGCTGAGATGATGATAATGATGATGATTAAGTTTGAAATCACTTCAGCACCATGTGCTGATATAAGTAGAGACAGCTATAAGACTAACTTTGGCGAAAAAATCTGTTATCAATTCCCCAACTATTTTTTATCACACTTTCACTATAGATTTTAATTACGCAAACCACTGCAAGTCAGTGTTTTTAATCAATCGCAATCCTCAATTCCTCACTCATTAGACTTTTTCACAATACTTTGATTAATCTACATTGGATTTCTATTCACATTCACCAAGTCTTTACTTTAACACCCAAATATGGTGGTATATTTGTGCTTCTTCACAGCTCGAGCCCTTAGACGGGGGAGCAGCAAGTGGCCTGACCTTCACTGCTCCTCGTTGGGAGACTGTCCCACCAGAACCGGTCACGAAGCACGGGCCCAGGGTGCCAAACCACCCGGCTGCAGGTTTCTACTACCCGAACTGGAGGGAACTGCCTGTGATCGCTAAGGCCGAGTTTACGAGAGTAAGTTATAATAACAATATTTTAAAGCATCGCCCGCGTTGATATTAGATTTAAAAAAAACTTAATAATTTATTATTACCAAATAATAATTAACAGTTATGCTTCAATGAATGAGGAGATCCGTAGGAGAACCAAAGTAACCGACATAGCTCGCAGAATGCTAAAATCAAGTGGCAGTGGGCGGGGCACATAGCTCGTAGAGACGATGGCCGTTGGGGCAGGAAAGTTCTCGAGTGGCGACCACGGGCTGGAAAACGTAGCGTGGGCAGGCCTCCTACTAGGTGGACCGACGATCCTAGCTGGATCGTTTGTCCGAGATAGACATACTTGTCAACAATCTCAAGAATCGAGCTCCCAACCAAAACCGGGTAGGGCGCAACATGGACGTTCGACATAAGCTTCGTTTTGTCCATGTTCATCCGAAGGCCTACCTGTTGGGAAACTCAATTAAGGTCTTCGAGCATGGTGCCAAGGTCCTCCAGCGATTCTGCCATGACCACGATATCGTCGGCAAACCGAAGGTACTTTACTTGAAGGTATGTACTCGCCGTTAACGTTTATGCCGTATCCTTTCCATTCCAGGAGTTTGAAAGCGTCTTCCAATGCCGCGGTAAAGAGTTTCGGAGATATAACATCTCCCTGTCTTACGCCTCGCTGTAGAGGAATAGAGAGTAATTTATTATTACCAAATAAATAATTAACAGTTATGCTTCAACCACACCAACGCGTGCAGATCGCCATTGCCTTGCCGGCGCGATCACGACGCGATCGTAGGGAAATGACAGGTCGTATGAACTGTCATGGGTCGCGCGACCTGTCATTGGCCTTTGATCGCGCCGGCGATGGCGATTTGCACGCGTTGGTGTGGTTGAAGCCTTACGTACGTGGCTTGAAAAATACGTAATCTTAAAAACTCTATCCACAGAAATATATCTACTCCACTGAGAAAGTCAACGAGCTAGNTAACGAGCTAGTCAGAAAAGATATATTAGCCAAATTGAACCGTAAAGACGAATATAAAGGTGTCCTTGAAGAAGTTGTGAATGATGATTCAGACATTGAAGACATCAGTACAAAAAACTACGTGGAGCATCTGATGGAATTGGAGGAGGAACCATTCGGCACACCTATACCTAACCAGCCCGAGAACAACGTGGTAGTGGTCACTAAACCGCCTAGCATCAAGTAAGTAGAGTATTTTTTTTATTTAAATAATAAATAAAACAACTTCTTGGATATCTTACCCTGCGCTTCTCTTTATTTAGTTAAAAGAAAGAAGAACAAAAAGAAATATAGTCAATTCTTTTACAAGATCACAAGAAGTTGGAAAGATCTGGGGAGACTGCGCAGGAACACTAAAATAACTAAAAAGTAAATAGACATGTAAATAAGCTCTAAAAAAAGAACACATAAATGTATCAGCAGACTCGATAAAAATACTTGTGAAAATAGAAAACTCCACCGAATAAATAATTATCCCACTAAAAATACCTGCAAAACAGACTGCGAGACTTTCCTAATATATAGCCTAGATGCAGACCGTGTGCAGCACTCAGCAACATTAAGATTTATAGGTACTTTCACACAGTTGCTATTACTTTTCCATCAACATTACCATAAGAAGCTAATAAAATACTTTTATATTCATTTTATGACTGCTTTTAGCGTTTTGACAAAATTAAGGGGCGACTTGGTTTATTAATAAAATATTTTCTTCATAGTCAAGTTGCTGGTTAATGGATTCACTTTTGTTTATTAAAGACGACCCGCCCCTGCTTCACACAGGTCTAAAATACTTAAAAACCTTCCTCGTGAATCACTCTATCTAATAAAAAAACGCATCAAAATCCGTTGCGTAGTTTTAAAGATAGACATACATAGGGACAGACACAGCGAAGTGACTTTGTTTTATAGGTACTATGTAGTCATTCTACATACCTACTTAGATTTTTCCTGAAAACAAAACGTATTATGAAGTCATTTGTTTGTCGTTAGTACGTGATGCGGACTGCGTTAACTTCTAGTCCAGTGTGGCAAATCCTTATATTTCTGTTTCCAGCCGGGCTGGGATATACCTACTTTATCGACGCCAAAATGTGTGGACAAAATCGATAAAATGGCGTGATAGCCGCTTATCGCGGCGCACATCCTAGGCCTACTGGTGGATTGCAACACGCGTCCAGTGTGACAGACAATCCATGACAAATCCTTATATTTCTGTTTCCAGGTCAACAACCGAGAGAGAGTTTGACGATGACCTAAGAAGCATGGATGACGTGGTTTTGGCTGTCGCAAGAGGCCAGAAGCTAGGTCTGAATAAATATCTGCCTAGGCACTTCAGGTCAAGACTTCACCACGCAGTTAATAGGATACAACGTTAGTTGCTAAATTCATCTTCCCCTTCTTCACACGTCGTACACTATTAAATTAAAAATAGTTTTTTAAAGTTCCATAATTCCTACCTATTCCACATCGAGACAATATTCAGCTAGCATTTAAGCTACTAATATAAATTATTAAAAACATGGAGTTATCCATTACTTACCTACCTAATGATTCGTTTTGCTTTTGCGAATTGAGACCCCTGAGGGCATAGCCTCAAAATGTTTAAGGACGTTATTGTCGACATTGTCGTAGTACCTACCTACTTTATATTAACGAAGTGATAGTATTTTTTTTTATTTGTATAGAGTATTAATGCTTGCAAATCGTCAAATATTTAAAGAAAAAAATAAATAATAAAAGAGCTTAGTTTTGCTCTTATGGAGCCTTTACATGTCTCATAATCTTTTTGCCTACCAGCGCTTCGAGACCAACACTTATATCACGGTTTAGGTTGTCATCAATGGGTTTTTTTTCCACCAGCCGACGACTGCCTGGTCTCCGAGTGGGGGGAGTGGTCCCCTTGTTCCGCTACCTGCGGGTTCGGCAACAAGTACCGATCCCGACGAGTGCTCAGGGAGAAAAGGGGAGACGGTCGCCACTGCCCAGACCTGGTGGAGAGGGACCACTGCGGGGATGTCAACTCCTGCGCTCACATCGACTACTTCCATTGGTGAAGAGGGGCAGAAGCTGATCGAAAACATAAAAATATTATCGAATAAAATTGTGATTTGTTTTGTAAAAGATTTTTTTTCCAAGATAATTTATTTTAGATTATAGGTTCCCCATACCACGCGAGTATCTATGATCGTACTCAGCTATAGGTACTATATTATCGCCCGTATTCACAAACGACGCTTGCTTAAGTGAAGCAGAAAATTGAACGCACAGCGTTGAATAGAGCTCTGTGATCAGTTCGTGTGTCACTCTGTGCGTCAATGGTCAATGCGCACTGTGAGTCGCTCTTTCTACAAAACAAGCAAATGTCAGACAAAGCCAAATTTTATAACAAATCTTAAGAGTTGTAATATTTCTGACCTTTACCTTTGTGCCAGGCAGAAGTTTTTACTGACAGCCTGCTGCTTCATTCAGGTCTGCGTATGAATAATTAATTTAATCACACTAAACTTGTGAAAAAGCTGTTTTAGTGGGTTCTTCTGGAGGGAACCAAGTTTATTGGGGTCCGGTGTCTATAAAATGCCCACCTCTGGTGAGGCTCTATTTAATATTAAACGTCGAGCTTGACCGAGGCATGGAGCGTTTTTTATGTAGGTACAAGTGGGCAGGTATTTGACCGCAATTACACACAGGTACCTAAATAAGTCTAGATTTTTTTTGTTACTTAAAGTTGTTGCTAGGTTAGGTAGGTATAAAATAAGTTGATAAAAATAAATATGATTAATTAAATGCGGCGCAAACAATACAACAATGCAAATGTACGTTTGAGTCATAAAGGGTGACACTGTCACTAGAAAATTTCATAGAAGCGGTTCGTTGTTCTGTTCATCATCGTCATCATCATCATCATCATCATCTCAGCCATAGGATGTCCACTGCTGAACATAGGCCTCCCCCAATGCTTTCCATGCTGCCCGGTTGGTAGTGGCCTGCGTGGTTCTGTTACATTACAAGTAAATACTCCAGTCTATAGTCACCTTAAGCGACAGCACATACTGGGTGACAAATCGAGTCCACAAAACCACCACACTAAGAAAACTTACGGTATGAGGGCTCTAGTCGGAGAAGAAAACGAATCTAAACACGTTTACAGCCAAAGGTGGGTCTAACTAACCCCCCATTCTTCAAAAGCGAGTCGTAAAATAACAAAACCTACTCAAAAACACGGCAACTTATGCTTATTGACTTTGGCACGAGTTCGCAAAAATGAAAAGAACCCCTTGCGGCAGATGCGCAAGAAATTTTTGACATAAAATGTGTAAGATGGCGTTTTTTCCGTTATGGCCACTGCAAATGGCACCCCATCGATCGACCACCAGCACATTTGTATTCGTGCCGTGATCCTCTCAAAATCAAGGAGTATGTGATTCGATTTCTATACAGTGGGGGATTGGTATAGAGCTGTAAAGCCTCGTCGTACGACGCCTCAAGTTTAATCCTAAGGCGTAGACCACCTACTTTTAGTTGGCCGATAGTTGGACCAGGCTGTTAATCAGTGCACACATTACACCAATTTGGTATCGGACGATTCTCCATACAAATTGAATTCGGGCCCAACTATCGGCCAACTAAAAATCGGTGGTCTGCCTCTAGTTTAATGGTGAGAGGATTGCACGAGGAAACGGGGGATAGCGGGCACTCCCTTGACTGTGGTTATAAGGGACAGTGTTTAAAGCACCAAGTGTATTTGTTTCCAAAGGTTTACATGGTTGGGCAAACAATGGGTTAATTCTCAACTACTAAAATCGAATTTTACAGCAAACTGAAAACTTAAGTAACTAAATTGCAATGTTTTAACGGAAGTTATAAATAGATACATAAGATCCCAGAATGTTAAGGCTGTGTCGTTATCTGTACCTCGCGTTGTACCAGCTCCATACACTTAACTTGCTCACTCAATCGGAAACATCAATTGAGTGTCTCATCGCGGGGTACATACTAACGCAGCAATGCCGACACTGTGCTGGTGTCTTAAGTTAAAGGTTAAATAAACCCTCGACGGAAAGCCAGAAATTACCAATCATAAATGTTTATAAAGTGTACTAAGTATTTTTTTGATAAAGTAAACTTCCCGGACGCCATTATAATAAAATTGGATGACTGTATAATTATGTTACCGATGCCCTTGGTCAATGTCACTTTTGACTGATTTTTCCAGTCATAAGTGGTTTTAACCAAGAGCGTTAGTCATGACATTATAAGTATAGACTGCAACATAATGTACACACGGCCACACTGTTTTTGCTCTCGATCTAATCAAATGGTGACTCTTTGCGATAGAACGAGATGATGGCACCAAGAAAACAATTGTTTTAATATTTCATTAAACTCTTGGTTTACTAGCTAGTCTAGTACATCTTAGTCTACTTACTATACAACTTAGTTATATCGCACCCTAAGGAGTTCACACCTAACAAGGGTTTCAATATTGATTAAACAAGCATTTCAGAAAGTTATAATTGTTCGGTGCTCGTACAAAACCCCCACAAGCAAATGAGGTCCAAGTGCTGTAGGAATAATGACCGTTCTCACCATAAATCCCTAATTTTGAAGTGACGCCTATGAAAACAAAATTCCTGATAGGTGTTACCATAGGGGTCACTTAAAAATTAGGGATTGATGAAAACGGGCATCAGATGCATAATACATTGAGTTTGTGTAAATGCAAGAAACATTTTTCAGAAAATGTTGTGGATCGGGATGAGATCCACCATCCCAAAAATATATTTTCAGCCACAAGAAGACAAGCGATCGCCATTAACAATTTTTTAAGAAAAGGAAGACAGGGGACTAACGAGAAAACTGGACATCACTCTGGACAAAACAAGAAGAAGACAGGCAACAAAAATCACTAACGCAACAAAATAATCATCCATCATGTTATTTTGCGGACCTACACTATGAGTAAGAGTGACAATTTTGTCATCGAGTTTGTTGCGGCGCTTCTTCTCAGCACTTGCCAAATGTTGGTCTCGAAGCGCTGGTAGGGTAAAAAGATTATGAGACATGTAGAGGCTCCTTAAGAGCAAAATGACGATTTGTAAGAACTATTTATTAGTCTAAACAAATAAAGAAAGGACATTGTCAGAAACCGCCTAAAAAACCGCCAAAAAACATTAACCCATCATAATTATTTTCTA